TTGTTAGTTATTAATTATGGTCGAGTTGCCAACCCTAACATAGGACTTTGGTTCCAGGTCCAATGTAACAATTTCCCGTCGGAGCAAAGTACAAGGTCCACGTTAATTTGCAGTACTAAGGGTTTCCAGACATTTCTATTTAAAGACACCACATTCACTGGGAATGTAATGTTTGTTTTACAAATTGTAAATACAATTATTAAGCACACAGTACGTGTATGTAGGTATAAGTGGTATGTTTTTTGTGAGTGACAATTTTCAATTATTTATTTATTTATTTAACATTTTATTGCACCAACATTACAGGATTTGTTGAACAATTTTCAATAAATACAGTGTAGTACAAAAGGCGGTCTTATTGCTAAGCAATCTCTTCCAAGCAACCTTTGGGTAGAAGGAATTAAAGAATAAAAAGGTAGGTGGCGCGATAAAAAAGATATTATTCTTAATAAAAATATTTTTCTATTCCTTTTAAGATTTCGCTGTATCAATAGTGACGTCATGCTCCGACTCGTGTGGAGTGTTGCTACACTGCCCGCTGACCACCACCCGCCGTGATGTCCATTAAACGGCTCACAATATTACAAAAATAGAAATATATTCTTTGGAAATATCACCTTACTCGAACTGACTACAGCATAGGATTCTTCAAAAGGGGGGTAAAGAGGTTTCTTCAGGGTCTGCAATGCGCGCGTAATAACTCTAGTATTGCAGGGGTTTATAGGCTACGGTAACCACTTACCATCAGGTGGGTCATATGCTTGTTTGGCACCTCAGTGGTATATAAAAAAAAAAACTGAACTGTATATGTTCAGAAAATTTAGTACATTGTTGAACGTATTATCTTGACTTTAGTTTTTCATTTTTCCACACAGATTTCTCCTACAAATTTGGGGAAAGGGATTGTAAGTAACGGGTATTAACGGCCTCATTGCTAGCAATATATACTGTCAGACCGGCCTCCATGCGGTTCTCTCTGGAAAACATCATGGTTTTTTTTCAACATTCAATAAATACTTCACGATGGGCTAAACTACCTGACTCCATCCTCACACGGTCATTCCTCATTGCTGCTCAGCGGATATCGACAGCGCATCTATAAAAATATGTCTCCTATAAACTATCATAAGAATTGTTTTTATGCAACATCTGGAGACCGGTAGACAGCAGAGGTCGCCAGTTCGGGGGCCGACCACATACTCTTTTTGTTGCAGTATCCGGCCGTAATGCTCCTCAAATATTGCATCTAAATTGTCCACCATGTACCTATAATTCCGTCACCCGTATCCAATAGCGAGGACGGGATGCCTTAAATATTGCACCGCAAACCATAAAAAAAAAAAAAAACATAGAATGGCAAACAAGCTGACGGCCCACCTGATGGAAAGTGGTAACCTTCGCCTATAGACATGAGCAGTACTATAGACATAACAGTATTGTTTCGTCCATGATACCTTGCGTCGCCATTCTTCAGGACTAAGGTGTTATACCTCTGTACCCTGTAAATTCACCCCATATCCCACCCTTTAAACGAAAACACAGCCATGCAAACACAACTGCTTCACGGTTGAGACAAAAATAAGATAGAGGTATCAAAACAAACGATTTTGTATAGAACTAAGATTCGCTCTGATAATTTTTGTTTTTATACCACTGAGGTGGCAAACAAGCATACGGCCCACCTGATGGTAAGCGGTTACCGTAGCCTATGAACGCCTGCAATACCAGAGGTATTACGCGCGCGTTGCCGACCCTGAAGAAACCTTTTTACCCCCCTTTTGAAGAACCCCATAATTTTGTAACATTTGTACTTCACCTAATAGATCAATATCTGTAAAAAACAATGTTCTCGCAAATAAAAAAAAAACAATTTTCATATGCTGTAGTCTCTTGGGAAAACCTCGGCAGGGAGCTCATTCCATAAGCTGAGTGTTCGTGGGAGAAAACATCTCTGAAACCGCGTTGTACGCAACCATTTAAGCTGTAAGGTATAAGGATAAATTATCCAGATACACTTGTCTCCGTTGAATTCCAGCAATCCAATATGCGGTAAAAATAGTGAAACCGATTAACACGATATCTAATTAGCGTTAGGTAAATATTTTGCCGAAACGTACAATTTAGAGGGCTGTGTATAAATAGAGGTGTGGCAATAGGGTGGGCCATCGTAATGATGTACACGGTGTGTTGACTCGGGAGTCACCCCGACGTGTGGCCTTGACTTTATTTCTTGTAGATATTGCAGTTTGGTTTTGTGGTTGTATTCTAAGTGACCTTGGGGATGGCATTGTATATAATTGGGATGACTAGCATGCTTACGACCCTTTTGATCTGTAAGTTTTTTTTTATACGACTTAGAATGGCAAACAAGCTGACGGTCCACCTAATGGAAAGTGGTAACCGTCGCCTATAGACATGAGCAGTACCATGGACATAACAGAGTATACTGTTTCGTCCATGATACCTTCTATGCGTTGCCATTCCTGAGGACTCAGGTGTTATTCCTCTTTACCCTGTAAATTCACTGTCATTCTAAGTTGTATACAAAAAAAAAAAAAACTAGCTATGTATTTACATATATTCTGGATATTAACACGTTTTTCGTTTTCCACATGTCTTTATGGCATTCTCGCTGCCACATTTAAAGAGTAACATTAGTGTATGTTTAACAGGTAACTGCTAATAGATTTTTCTCAACATTGTGATTCTTATTTATTTTTCCATTTATCAGTGTTTCTATAATATCATATTTTGGTTATCTCCGGTCGCAATTTAACAATCACTTACTTTGTCTATTATGAGATTCGATTGACACATTTATTTTTTTAAGTACTTTTTCTCTAAATGCGAATAAAATCATTAAGTATGGTTTTATTAGCTGTTGACGAAATAGGTTTATTTCAGTTATTTAGAATCTAAATATTTCATCCCACTATTGGATATATATTATTTAATTATTATATTGATATTATTGTTTAATTTATATATTTGTGGAATAGTTTAGTTTTGGTATATGACTTTAATGGATTAATTGTCTTAACTGGCACTAACGTATTATGCTTATTCACTTTTTTTATTATTATATTTAGTTCATAGCATGGCATGGCATGAAGAAAAAAAATTGTAATAGATGGCGATATATAATAATAATAAATAATAGAAAGCAATAATAGAATTTCATCGTGCCTCCGATCAAACTGTTTATAATTATTCCTCTCTATCCAAAGGTCTACCAGAGGGAGACTTTGTACAAAAGTCGATTGCTTGGGTACCTCTGTCCCATTCGTGTTTCAACCGTGAAGCAGTTGTGTTTGCATGGCTGTGTTTCGGTTTGAAGGGTGGGATATGGCGTGAATTTACTGGGTACAGAGGAATAACACCTGAGTCCTCAGGAATGGCAACGCATGGAGGGTATCATGGGCGAAACAGTATACTCTGTTATGTCCATGGTACTGCTTATGTCTATAGGCGACGGTTACCACTTTCCATCAGGTGGGCCGTCAGCTTGTTTGCCATTCTAAGTTTTATAAAAAAAAAAAAAAAAAAAAAAGGTTGCCTGGAAGAGATCGCTCTTAGCGATAAGGTCGCCCATTGTTTTCTCGTTGTGATTATTTCTTGTAATTGTTTATATTTATAATAAGTTTACTATTGTAATCTTTTGGAGGAAACAATAAAGAGTATCTATCTATCTATCTATCTATTTTGCTGTAAATATATATAGCTATAACAGTATCACGAATCTTGTGTCTGTATACTATATACAACGTGCAATAATATACTTTAGCTGAAAGTTGATAGAATCGGTTAGCACCTACGTTTTTGTAAAGGAAAATATTCTTTGTTTGATGTAGTCTCGAAGCAGAGCATAATATGGTTTGTGTTGTAGATTAGTTGGCTGGATTATAAAGTAGTGATGCGTACGACCTTGACGTTTCCTTCCATTTTCTGACGACTTCAAAAAGAAGACGGTTATCAATTCGGTTGTATGAGTCCCATGGAAATTTTATCAAAATCGGTTCAGTGGTTTGAAATAAAATAACTATTCGGGGGTTCGATCCTTACACAATACAAATATTTTTATACTTGAGTAGATAGAGTATATATATAGAATATATATGATATGTTACATACATTTAAGGAAAACTTATTTAAGTTAATCAATTGTTTAGTATTAATATTGGGATCATATGATACATGTAAGTCTATTTATTTATTTAGAATACGAGTACAATATCAAATGGAGGCGTATGTAATGGACACACACAATGTATTTTATTTATATTTCTTTTTATTGTTATTTTTAATAAGGAATTTCGCGACTGTCTCTTGGCCATAACAGAATATCAGTGTTTTGCTCTTTTGAAGGCAAAGCAATAAACTGAGTTGTGACCATTTTGTGTTACTATGGCACACGCATGAAGGAAAGGAAAGAAGGGAGACTGTTGGTATATATATTTTGTTTTTTTTTTTTGTTTTGTTGCTTTTTTATTTTCATTCTTTTATCTCTTTTACTGTGTGTTATGTGTATATTTTGTTATTGTAATTTGTGTGCTGTAATTAATGTAAATAAATTATCTATCTATCTATTTTTTATTACAAGCTTTTGTTTTACTTATATTATATGTTATTTAGTTAGTTTAGGTTAAATCGTGCAAGCTTTTTTTATACAACTTAGAATGGCAAACTAGCTGACGGCCCACCTGATGGAAAGTGGTAACCGTCGCCTATAGACATGAGCAGTACCATGGACATAACAGAGTATACTGTTTAGAATAAATAAATAAGTTGCTTTAATCAACATTACAATTAACATTGATAATTCCAATTTATTGTAAACGACATGTTTTTACTTGTTTCTGTATTAACATTCTGTATATCTTAAATGCTTGTATTAATCGTTTAATGGATTCGCAACTGTGTTGCAATCAATTGTTTAGTCTTGTGCGTTATTATGAACTACAGACAGCGATCGAAGCGTCGGCCAAGCAATTACGAGCAGGGAACGAGGTGGCAGTCGTCAGTCGTCGGTGCCACAGTGGTTCAGTGGTCAGCCGTCACTGCTGCGTGTAGTTGACAGTAGATGCCAACAACCCGCGCGCGAAACACGCTCGCCCGACCAATGCCGCCGTCCTATCGCTCGCGCGTCAAATTAAAGTAATACCGCGGATATATTTGAGAGCATCGAAAACAAATGGGATAAAAAGGAACACTATTTATTGAATTCAAAGGTCTATTAAACAGTTTCTATATTCATACTTGCCCAAAGACAGTTCGTGTGATATTAGTTTCTAAGTTAGAATTTTTAGTATTTGTGTTGTGAACTTTGTGTTTGATAATTATTAAATGGAGGAGCAAGGAGGTAAATTGTTAATTAATTTATGTTTATTAAGTTTTTTTTTTTTTAATTAAGTACTGGTGAACATGAGTAAGTTGTTTAGCGAATGTTGCTTTTTTTATGGCTAATAAATTGATAGGACAGTCGTTCGGGTGAGCACTACGTGATAACTGGGTGTATTAATAGAAAAAGTCGGTGTTATATGAACGTTTTAATATTTATTGCTTCGATAAACTCGCCGGCTTTGTCACTTGTTGCGTTTATGGCTGAGCAAACTGACTCTGTTCCATTTGCAATTTGTTTTTTTAATTTAATGGATGATAATGGTATGGTAACCCCGCCTGCGCTATCGGTATACACCGGCGGGGCACCAGTGAAGGATGATAGGTGAGGATGAAGCAGGTCAGTTAGCCCATCGTGACACATCTAACAATAAATCAATCACGATGGTTTCCAGGGGAAACCGCGTGGAGGTCGATCTGACAGGGTATATTGCTAACAATGGGGTTACTAGTTCCCATTACTAACAATCCCTTATCCCTCCTATTCCATTTGCAATTGACTTCAAAAAGAAAGAGGCTCTCATTTTAGTTTTATGCTCTTTATATTTGTTACATGAGGTAACAATGTAACTGCGGGGGGAAAGGGATTGTTAGTGATGGACACTAGTAATGGCTAGCAATATACCCAACCAGGTCGACCTCCTCGCGGTTCCCCCTGGTAACTATCACGGTTAAATCCTGATGGATTCATCATGACGGGTTAACTGGTCTGCTTTCATTCTCATCTATCACCCTTCACTGGTGCTCCGCCAGCGTATCCCGTTAGCGTAGGCGGGGTTGCTATTCCATATTTTTTAAATTTATTTACAATATAGGGGGCAAACGAGCAAACAACAAAAAATACTGTAACTGCGTCAGGTTAAAACTGATTTGGTTTTTTATATGATATACTTACAGATTGGTTCCATGGAAATTTTATCAAAATCGGTTCCGTAGTTTAATTCTAAATCAAAATAACAGGTTTTGCCATAGTTGAAGAAGGTTTTTTTTGTGGAACTCAATTTTTTTATTATTAATTATTAAGATCAGTCAAGTATTTTTTGACTGTATTACAAATGAAGGATGAAAAAAAAAACAAATCTTTTCCCCATAATATTAGTCTAGACATGTGAACAGTCCGTTTTTATGTGCTTAAAATAAGATCGGTTAATACTAGAATTTTTGAGTGCGTTCCTTTTGCAGTCAATTTGATTAATTTACTCTCGTATTGATTCCATTTAAATATTCTTTTTTTTTTTTCATTTACATTAAAAATATTATTGATCGTAGCTGTTCTAGACTTTAAACATAATTTTACAACTGTACAAGTTTAAATGATAATAGTGACAGATGGGATGCTTCAGCCAAATTCGTTTGTTTTTTATTTTCCTTTTATTTATTTATTTTTGTGTCAGGTGTACTATACATTAAGCTAAAATTATTTTACCAACAAATTGTGCATTGTAACTTGTAATAAAGATTATAACTGTCATTATAGATAAAAAATAATGTGATTTTCCTTTAATAATAGAATATTATGGATTATATATTAATTAAATATTACGCTGAATTTTCAGTCGTCTTCAAAAAAAGGGGAGTTTTTCAAATCTATTGTGTAATATTAAACGTTTGTTACCTCATAACTTTGTCATTTATAAATCCATGTGGAAAAGTTTTTTGTATTACATCAAAAGTTTAGTTTTTAAACCGAAATAATTGGTTTTACCACGATTGAAGTCGGTTTTTTGTGTACCACAATCTTAAATTATTAGACCCCGCCCTGTACAGACACTAGCGACTCGGCGATGCGTTCGCATGAATTAGAAAGAAAAAAAAAATTGTTAATTTTTTGCCTGTCCTCTCATGTTGTTATTAGGCTATTGTAATATTTTTTTATAAATATATTTACTCGTAAGTAATCTTAGTAACTTGGACGATACAAATTTTTAGCCCATTCGTACAATGTATACTATTCGTCTGATGTATCTATCAATGGGGAGAAAGACACGCCCTTTTACATGGTCGATAAATTCTACTCTCGTATTGTTCGTATATTAATTAAGTCACATTGAGGACTGTGATATGGTTACGTGAATTCTGACATGTTCATGGGACATTAAAGTCACTTTACCATATCATATACCTTTCCTGAAAATAGTGACTCGTGTAGGGTTTAAACCTTTGCTCCCCGATGGTGAAGCTTACAGTAAATATCGGTGTCTTAACCTAATGAGCTAACGAATCCTGTTTGTGGAGCAAAATTATACATTATTATTTATTTATTTTCATAATAATTTAATGTAATTCATGATAGATTAACAAGTAATTTACATTTCAGTATATTTGTATATATTTTCTAATATGTCATGTCATATATTTTATGTGACGTTACGGGTAAAAACTGGTATGTCTATGTGTGTGGAAATGAATAAGAATAAAAGTTATTTAGAGTTTGCTGCGAGAGAATTCTTGTAGAGTTAAGCTCTGTTAAGCTTAGACGTGTGCCCCGACATAGAATGCTCCACCCCTTTTTTTCACGTAGGTGTCGTAAGAAGCGACTGAGGGAGGGCGAGGGATGGGTGACAGCGTCTTTCTTTAAACATCTCTAAAACCCTAACTGCGGTTGTCAACCCGCCTGTCAAGCTTGGCTTTACTGGTAAAACTCTCCTTATGGGGAAGACTTATGTCCAGCAGTGGACAGTGGAAATAATAAGCGGTGCTCTTAGATACTGCCCGCATTGTACGCCGGTTTCTCTCCCTGGGGCCCTGAACCCCGGCCGACTGTGCTTCTGCCGGGGTTAGTTTGCCATCTCCTCTCCTTAAGAGAGGAGATGGGAATTTTTGTAAAAAATAAAAAGCTCTTCTTGTATATTTGCTTATAATTTTATGATTTTTTTTTATACGACTTAGAATGGCAAATAAGCTGACGGCCCACCTGATGGAAAGTGGTAACCGTTGCCTATAGACATGAGCAGTACCATGGACATAACAGTACACACACATACTGTTGCCATTCCTGAGGATTCAGGTGTTATTCCTCTGTACACTGTAAATTCACTACCATATCCCACCCTTCAAACCGAAACACAGCCATGCAAACACAACTGCTTCACGGTTGAAACACGAATAATTTTATGTATTGTTAGTATATATAATAATATATAATTAAATAAAAAAGGTCCATCATGTTTATCGTTGTTTGATAACATTCTAACCTCTTTATACATAAAAACTAAAACATCCTATAAACCTATTTTAATTATTAAGAGTCTTTGATCACTTTCTTTCAAGTTGAGAAGTTAGCGTATAAGAAAAAGACAAAACACATCAACAGCTAAAATAGGTTTATAGAGAAAGAAAGAAGAAAGAAAACATTTGTTGCCAACAATAAAAAGAGTTACATTGATTATTTAATAGAAAACAAATTACATTTGTTATTGCCAATTTATTCCCCGTATAAGGGGGATGACATATAAATAAGGGGGTAGGAGTAAAAGTTGGTGCATTATCTTTAGTAGGAGGGAAAGGGATTGTTAGCAATGGGGACTAGGGATCCCATTGCTAGCAATATACTCAACCAGGTCGAGCTCCACGCACTATTTAACTCTTTTCTGCGGAAACAAAAATATACAATGACATATAAGCAATTCAAGTGAAATACAGTACTATTCCTGGTTAATTCCTTATAAATGGGCGGACGAGTGGCGGTCCTCCACCGTGCGTTTTTCAAGGCACTTTCTTCCACGCACAACCACTCTTTGTGAATCAACTTCCAGCAGCAGTATTTGCGAACCGATACGACAACATAACCTTCAAGAAAAGAGCATATTCCTTTTTAAAAGGCCGGCAACACACCTGCAATGCCGTCGGTGTTGCGGGTGATCATGGGCTGCGGTAGTCACTTACCATCGGGTGAGCCCGAAGCTCGTTTGCCCCCTGTGTTGTAAAAAACAAATTATCATTAAATTGACCTGTTTTTAGTCTAATCTATTGCCTTTTACTGGTGCTCCGTCAGCGTATACCGTTGTGGCTGGTGGGGTGGCTATTCCATTTTTACTATGAAAAATATATCTTTGATAACAGCGGTCGGCTACGGCTGGGTGCTACGGCTCGCGTCATAGACGCTACGCTTCCATGCGTGTACAATACTCACTGATAACTTATCAGTAATATCTGATATTGTCGAATAATAACTGTCGTGAGTCGTACTGTATTGTAATTATTTATGTTGACTTCATTCATATTTGGAACTCGGGGATGCCCGTCTAGTTAAATTGTTTATTAATGCGTTATGCGATTTTTTTTTTAATGGATGATAATGGAACGGTAATCTCACCCGCGCTATCGGTATACGCTGGCGAGGCACTAGGGAGGGATGATAGGTGACGATGAAATCAGGTCAGTTAGCCCATCGTGATGAATTCCACTAGAACTAACAACTATGGTTTTTAGAGGGAACCGCATGGAGGTCGAGCTGATAGGGTATATTGCTAGTAATAATCCCCATCACTAACATTCCCTTTTTCCTCATATCTTCGTCAATTGTAAAAAAACTTTGTTTTTCTTTTTTTTTTTTTTTAATTGAAAGATTTGGTACTGTTTTAATACAAATGTAATAATTAAAGTAGGTAGGTTTGTTTGTCGAACAAACCCTTAACTCAGTTTTTCACATATTTAATAATATAATAATAATATAAGCCTTTATTCAGACAACATTTTTTTTTATAACAACTTATTATTTATTTAATTACTGTTGTCTGTTGTTATTTGCTTATTAGCAAACGCCTCCTCCAACTGCCTCCAATGGTCCCTGTTGCTAGCAATTCTTGTCCAAATTCCACCTGCTTCAGCCCTAATGTCATCTACCCATCTTCTATGTGGTCTTCCTCTTCTCCTTTTCTTGTCTTTCGTGTACCAAAACATTATCTTTTTACTCCATTTATCTCTCTATAATCTTATTTACTACATGTGTCAATTAACTCC